AGCTAATGATGTAGTTAGAACTGAATGTGAAATTATTTGTAATAAAAGTAGCAAAATCAAAATTAACAAAGTAGTATTTTATGACTGTCATACAAAATACTTATTCACCATTACTGTACTAATTGCCAAAAAAAGCAACAAAAGCAATAAATGGTTAAGCTAATTGGCAAATTAGTAACTTTTTTTGGAACTTTAAAAGGACACCAAAAGTAAAAGCTTGGAGAATTAAAAATAAAAGGCATTTCTAGAACATAATGAGCCTTTAAAGCTAAAAGCAAGTAATATACTCAACATCACTAATTCCGCGTCATCACTTATTTTACGGTAATGGCAATTATTTTTAGGTGACCAGTGTTAAAATTGTTCAGAATTGACATATTTTATTCAAACACCTTAACAACAAAATTTTTGTGTAAAATATTTTAAATCTATACATTTTTACATAAAACAGAACAACATTTTACAAACTTCTGCAAAAAGCAGAAATAGTCCGTTAAATTTGTGCATACGTCTGAAACAATCATCATTTTCTAAATGTTCTTGTTAAGTTACAATGTAAAGATACTTTAAATATTTAAAATTATGCAAACTAACATGACTGTAGAAATTTTTACTGAAACATAAAAAAGCTGAAATAAAAGACCATTGATGACATACAGTTTTTAAAACGGCCAACACATGGTCTACGTCTGGCTCATATAAACTGATTTTGACTAAATATATTGTTGTTTCCTTGTGTCATACAGTAGAAAATACATATATGTTACAGCTTATGACAATTTTTGTAATTAAGTTTTATGTGTTGTTTTCTTTCTTACTTCAAAGCTTTAAGTACCGTGAACTAAGAGGAGCACAGTATAAACAAAAGTTTCAAACTACAGAGAGAAAAAATTACAGAAAAAAACATTGATTCAGACGTCTATATATGATAAGCTTGCCTGACAACAAGTGATATAATACCTAAATTGAGGTCATTGACCAGCCAGGATATATGAGATATTGCCTTAAAGGATAAAAGGACACAATTTGTCCTACCAATTGAGGTCAATATAATGATGATTATCATGACAATTTATACAATCAATAATTTCTTTTAAGGACAAAGAATTCTTTTTTCTTGCACTAAAATAAAGTACTGGAACATAAAATTATAGACAAGTTTTGATACCAGATTTCTCGTTACAAATTAAAGTACATCCAGGCTGCTAATTTTATAAGAGTTTAAATTTGAAGTTGCAATCCCCCAGGAACTATAAATGGGCAACTCCAAATTTAGGAAACTAGTCCATTTTAAGAATTGAGGTTAAGCAACTCATTGGTGTCAGTGGATTAAATGGTATAACAGTTTACCTGATGAAATGAAAGAAAAAATCTTGTGAAAATCAGGAAACAGAAAATCCATGGCAGAATAATTATGTTTACGAACGTCAATGGTTCAGTTTCATCAGATACATTGTGCATGTACTTTAAAATTTTCTCAACACGTTAGATTTTATAGGCTCACTTTAGGTCTGTGAAGGTTTTGATGATAACTTATGATGTTCACAAAAATGGAAGAAAGTGCTGTGTAATTTTATATAGGAAGAGAATTATGGCTTCGTAACAACATAATTCTGTTACCAGGAAACAAAATATACCTCAAGTCTGACACTGTGAAAAATTAATTTTCACCGTCTTTATAAATTGGATCACACCCATTTTCCATAGGACTATTTGCCCTGCCACTCAGCAGATTCAATACTTTTCATTTATTAAATAAGTGTGAGGACTAATTTATCTACCGACAAGCATTTTCTCCCGTTTTTCTTCTTCATTTAATCAATCTATCAAATTACTGCAAAACCAAGAGAGACTTTTTGTGTTCTCACTAGCGAGGGTCTGTTACTGTATTCTCTTAAATCAATATGGAGGCCTCCGATTTCTTTATCCCCCCATAAAGAGGTGATAAAACTTCGTGGTCTTATATCTTTTGTTTAATTTTATGATAAGGTTTAAAGATACAGACAAAAACTGGGGAAATTAGTCAATAGGGAGTTTTAGGAAATGCTATAATTAGTTGTTGTATTTCTCTAAGACAAAAGACTTTGTTCTTGTAGCAAGAGACAAAAACTTAACAAATTCCAAGAGCAGTATATGATACATATGAGCTGCGTCACGACACAACCAACATAATGGGTTTGCGACCAGCATGGATCCAGACCAGCCTGCGCAGTCTGATCAGGATCCATGCTGTTCGCTATCAGTTTCTCTACTTGTTATGGGGTTGGTAAGCGAACAGCATGGATCCTGATCAGACTGCGCGGATGCGTAGGCTGGTCTGGATCCATGCTGGTCGCAAACCCATTATGTTGGTTTTGTCATATATATAGTTCCTTGGTATTGTAACAACTCTTAATCTGAAGACTAATATAATCCTCTGATCTACAACATTACGATATGTACCTGAAATTTTAAAATGATTGAATTCGATATAAGGTATACTTTAACACTGGTCATGATTTGGTTAAACCCTTAGAATATATTTCAAAAATGACATGCTTAATTTTTGGTAGTATCACTCAGGGTGGCTACCGGTATTCCATTGACTTTTGGACTAAGAGCATAAAGTTGCCAAGATTTGTAGTCCAGATTTTTGTCAATATCTGAATATGGAATATTATTTGATTTAACTAAACTGCTTTAAACCTTATGAAGAAATTTTTTTTGACTGGGTTTAACGTTGCACCAACACAGTATGGGTCATATGGTGACTACAGCTTTATTAGTGGAGGAAGACCTGAGGTGCCCCTCTGTACATTACTTCAGGCACAAACGGGAACCTGAGTAGAACCACCAATGTTCTGTAACCTAGCTGGATAGTTTTCTCACCAGAAGAATCCATAGAGGCCTAAGCGTGGCTCGAACCTAGAGCCACTTGGCCACATCTCTCCACCTTTATGAATGAAGCTCTTTTCTTGGGCTACCAATTTTATGTGATTATGTCTCCAAATTAAAGCTTTTACAGCTATATAGCTTAAGTACCAGTGTTTTTTTATAAAAAAATGGAAAGAAATAAATGTAGATCAGGCAAATTACTTGAACTACATGTACATTAAAAGCAGAATTGCTATTATGCATTATTAATAGATGTCTACACTTGCTGGTGTAATTGAATATATATTTGTCAAGAAATGGTGAATTTTGTGTTGTTGTTTTTTTCCCATTGAATGTCCTTTTAGATATTTATTATTTACGGACAATAAGTTACTGAATTGTTCATTTTCATTGCAATTACATATCTAGCTAGGGTTGTTATTGGGCCAAACCTCTAGCCCATTTTAAGGATTTTCTTTTCACATGAAAATGCTGCTTTGGCTGATTTAGCATATTATAAATTATTTAAAGCTGTGCAATATTGTTTTTAAGGAGTCGCAAAATCAGCATGGGTATCTGATAATATAAATTATTAAGCTCTTGCTTACCACATTGTAACATTTTGAGCTTTAATGACCTTTAATTCAAGCACATAATGACCTTTAGTTGAAGCACATAAATAGCTTCAGTCGGAGCACATAAAGAGTTTTATGTCAAGAAAATTTTGAGCTTGACACTGTACATGTAATTGACAAAATTAGCAGATGAAATGTTTGATCATTCAGGGATTTTTTCCAGGATTTTGGGAACATGACCTAAACCCATGGTATTGGGAATTTCAGTGGTGTTTTGTTAAAAATTTTGTAACTTTCAATTGGGAATTATTTCCTGTGGATTGGGAAAATAATATACTATTTTCAATTGGGAATATGACCCAATAACGGCTATAAAATCAGCCAAAAAAATTCCCTGGATCATTAGCACTGGTTACAATGTAGCTTTACCTAAGAAAACTTTGGGTTGTAAATTTAAATAACTTATTTATTACAGATCTGTCAAAATAAAATTGATTAAAATATGACAAAAAAAACCAACAAACAACAAAAGCCAATTCGCACATGAGGTGAAGGAAATCAGCTGGGAAGAAGTTTGTTTTTATAACTGGTCTGAGTGTCACAGCTTGTTTTATGCTACAAGAAATTCTCCTTTCTTTCACCATTTAAGTACAAGTGTTCCATTGAACCCCTGTAAGTTATGTTATAAAACAGAATATTGACTGGTGGCAGACTGTCACAGCTTGTCTTGGCTTACATCATCACATAACATTGGTTCTATTTAACTTGACATCTACCATTTTTGAGGATTAGCATAATTTGTAAGTGGTACCGTAACTATACTATTTAACTAAATTGAAATCTCCTGGTAAAAAGAATTTATAAGCTTTTGACTTTGTGGTTCAAGTCAACTTGACATCTACCATTTAAGAGTTTTGTAAGTCAAGTTTCATTGACTTGGCATGGAAAATAAGCATTTGTTTAAAAAAGGTTACATTTTACTGTGACTTAGTCATAGACATTTTGATGCAAAAATTTGTCTGCCAGTATTATAAGAGCCTGATCAAACTGCATGGATGTTATAGTGCAGGCTGATCTGGCTTACACTATACTGGTGGCAAAGACCGACCACTTTTGGTTCCTGAGATGGGTAAGCGCAAATGTTTGTTTACTTCATGCTGTCAACCAATCCAGAACAAAACCAATCAAAATGAGTCTGCAACATTTTTGGTTTACACAAATTCAACAGGTTAATGGTTAGGATTCCTGCTCATTTCTGACTTTATATGACTGTGCATTAATCTGACGTGAGCTTTTTATGTGACATCTAGCACATTTTGGTTTATACAGAATTTATTTTAGTTTGATTATATAGGAAGCTATAAGCTTATTGACACACTTTCAAATTCCTTCCTGGAACCAACCAGTACCTAGTTATGAGTGTAAAGTTTCTTTCTCAACAAAACAAAAACTTGCCCCTGATGGGGTTTGAACTCAAGCAGCTAGCGATCATTAGATTACTAATCCAGTGTGTTGTTACCACTGGGCCATTCTGCCACATTTTGACTCTTGTTTGATTTAGGTCTCCTAACATCACTCTCGTTTCTACAACCTGGTACAATACCCTTTGACGGGTTTATAAAAGCATGTTTGTAAAGTTATAGATTATAGATATTTCCTGACACAGGCAGGATTTCTTGTTGCAGTATAAAACAGTTAGCTATAATAGAGTGTAAGAAGTGTTCAATAGAAGAGAAGAGTTTCTTTCAACTGGATTGTTGGATTTTCAAAACATTAGTTTTAATGAATGTAGTACTTATACAATTCTCTTTGTGATAAACGTGTTTGGAATATTAATGAATTAAAATATGGCTGCACATTTTCACAAAAAAGGTGACATATTTGAAGAAGATGATGTAAGTTTTAGTCTAATGGTATATTGTAATAATATAAAGTATGGTTTTAACTTTTAAGCCCCCACTATATAAGTGTTAAGTTTAAGTGTCGTATTATAATTGCAATTAAACTTTGAATAGACCATTGTTATTTTAAGGGAATCCTATTGAACATTGAACTATAAATAGACCATTGTTATTTTAAGGGAATCATATTGAACATTGAACTATAAATAGACCATTGTTATTTTAAGGGAATCATATTGAACATTGAACTATAAATAGACCATTGTTATTTTAAGGGAATCATATTGAACATTGAACTATAAATAGACCATTGTTATTTTAAGGGAATCCTATTGAACATTGAACTATAAATAGACCATTTTTATTTTAAGGGAATCATATTGAACATTGAACTATAAATAGTTAATTTATTTTAAGGGAACTCTTCTGTACAGACCATCGTTATTTTAAGGGAACTCTACTGTACAGACCATTGTTATTTTAAGAGAAACTCTACTGTACAGACCATTGTTATTTTAAGAAGAACTCTACTGTACAGACCATTGTTATTTTAAGAGAACTCTACTGTACAGACCATTGTTATTTTAAGGGAACTCTAACTGTACAGACTTTATTTTTAAGGGAACTCTACTGTACAGACCATTGTTATTTTAAGGGAACTCTACTGTACACGACCATTGTTATTTTAAGGGAACTCTACTGTACAGACCATTGTTATTTTAAGGGAAATCTACTGTACAGACCATTGTTATTTTAAGGGAACTCTACTGTACAGACCATTGTTATTTTAAGGGAACTCTACTGTACAGACCATCGTTATTTTAAGGGAACTCTACTGTACAGACCATTGTTATTTTAAGGGAACTCTACTGTACAGACCATTGTTATTTTAAGCGGAACTCTACTGTGACAGACCATTGTTATATTTAAGGGAAAACTCTACTGTACAGACCATTGTTATTTTAAGAGAACTCTACTGTACAGACCATTGTTATTTTTAAGGAACTCTACTGTACAGACCATTGTTATTTTAAGGGAACTCTACTGTACAGACCATTGTTATTTTAAGGGAACCCTCTACTGTACAGGACCATTGTTATTTTAAGGGAACTCTACTGTACAGACTATTGTTATTTTAAGAGAACTCTACTGTACAGACCATTGTTATTTTAAGGGAACTCTTCTGAACAGACCATTGTTATTTAAGGGAACTCTACTGTACAGACTATTGTTATTTTAAGAAGAACTCTACTGTACAGACTTATTGTTATTTTAAGAGAACTCTAACTGTACCAGACCATTGTTATTTTACTGGAACTCTATGTACAGACCATTGTTATTGTAAGGGGAATCCTAATCAACCCATTTATAAGGAATCAAACGACAGTTTTAAGGGAACTAAAAGACACCTTGAACTTTATTTTCCTGCGAACATTTGTTCTATTAAGTTTGGTCAGGAAATATGGGTGTGCAGTAATGGCCCAGTAAAATAATTACTCTATTATGACAATTGTCATTGCTTAAAATTCGAAACAGAGTCAGTTTATAGCAGAAATAATAAGATATAATTTCATAGCTAAATGAAAGGTATCAGACAATGAAAATATCAAGGTCGAGAAATATTTCTGAAGATTCAAAAGTCTTATTGAAAAGAGATTACATAAGGTCAGCTGTTTTAAATTGCAGCTTTAGAATCTTCAAAAAATATAGTGATAAAATTTTCAGTTTTATGTAATTTTTTTTTAAGCAATTACTCAGTACTTCACAAAATTTGCCAGCTCAAGGGTGTCAGCTTTATGCACAAATCATTTTGAGATAGTTATCTGAATAATTAATTAAAACAAGTAACCCACAGGGATATGTCATGTTAAACAATCATAGTAAATGGTGAGAAAAAAAACACCATTAAACATTATAAGTTCAATACCATTGATATACAGGGGCTATAGTACTGAAACGCTGTAAAAGTGTGTTATTTTTTGTTTATATTTTCTCAGAACTTGTTCAGTCAGTATATAATTGTAACCAATTTAGTATACATTTTAATGAGGCATGAAATAATTATAAAGCAGTTATAAAGCAATTATGTACAAAGAAGGATAATAAAACACACTTGGATGAACTTATTAGTTCTTTTTTATTTTTCCAGATTGTAATTTCTTTTGAAATTGGTACATTGAGAATTGATTTTAATGAAAGTTAATAAATATGAGTGAACCATACTGTTGTGGTTAAACGTTTATAATCTAATCATCCGAACTGAATAGGAACATATTTTTATATAATGTTATTTCAGACATCTGCAGTCATGGAGAAGTTTGAAATTAAGATTGAACGCCCGAAGCCGGATCCTATTGATGAGATAATCAAACTTCTAAAGAGGATTCTAGAGTGTTGTTTATGTTGTGTGACCTGCGGGTGTTACCCTGGCAACAGCTCAAGCCGGAGGTCAAGTACGTTCAACGGAGATTCTGAGTTTAGTTCTGTTTTGATGGACAATGAAAGACAGGCTGTTCAAAATCTACTACTGTATTTAGAAGATGGTAGGTAACAATTTTCATCAGACTGATCCATGCATCAAGCTTAATTTAATTTATTTATTTGTTTGTTTGAAAATTGTTAATTGGCTATGACTTGTGTATGATCAAATATCAACAAAAAAATTGATTAAGACTCACGGTTGCCATATTGTGTGCGTAATATATTTGTCTGTTAAATTGTATGTTGCTTGACAACTCACTATTATTATTAAAGCAGAAATAAAATAAAAACGTCATAGAATAATCATTTTACTGAAGTTTTGGGTAAAACTTTTATGACTCATAAAATGAAAGACAGAAAATCTTCTAATTGTATATTAGACCCTAGTTCTGATAAAGATAATACAGCAATTTATCTACATCAGCCAAATCTTTTTGAAGAAAATTCTGCAAGAGATACAAATTAATTGAATTTGCTTTTTTAAGTTTTTTAAAATCTGCAAGAGATACAAATTAATTGAATTTGCTATTATATTAAGTGTTTTGTATGTACGTTATTATTGTTTTTGCGAGGAAAAAAGGGAAACCTTAATGGATTGAAAAATCTTTTTCGTGACTCGGCTTCTTACTTTCCTCTACAATTGGGGAACCCCAGAAAATCAGCTGCAAGTGTTTCTTTCCGAAAATCAGTAAAAAAAGTAAGTTTATATGTGGATATAAAAATATTGTTTAATGTTAAAGAGGGTTTTACCCTTTTCCCTTTTAAATATAGCAATGTTCAATGTCAACTGGCATTCCTTTAAGTGTATAAAGCTACTTTGTATTTTATATGTTGCAAAAATCATTATTTGAATTTTAATGTAGAATTCTTCCAAAATGCCTGTATGAAAAAAATATGTTTGTATATTTCCTTAATAGGGAATGACGTATGCAAAAAATGGTAACAAAACAATTAAAAACCCTTCTAAAAAAGCAGTGTGTTAATATTCCTGTATTCTAAGATTTAACTAACTCATTTTATACCCTTGTTATTAACCTTAATAATCTTATGTTAACAATTATAGGGTTTGGTGCAGTATCGCCAGTTATGTGTCAATGTGCCGTTAAACCAAAACAAAATTATTTCATGGAGACATTCTGTGTTACAACTTTTTCCACAAACGACCTTAATATTTCATTTAGGAGTGAGGGAGAAAATACTGATCGCAATCTGTTAACATCAATGTTATCCGAGGCCAAAATGATGGCAAGGATAAGAAAAGACAATAGCCTGTTATTCTATTCATTTATACAACTAAAAAATAAAGCCTGAAGGGAAAAATTTTGGTCAATGATTTAGTATGTGATATATTTGAAAGTTACAATAGAGAAACAGTCACTTTGAAATAATAATGATAAAATCATCATTTTACATTTCAGTGCAAATACCAATAACAAATGCCCTGGCAGCACCCCTCGTAGCCCTGCTGAAATCTTCAGATCCCGAAATCCTCAAAGCTGCAACTCTTGCCATCAGTAACTTTACTCTAAATGGACCAGGTAGATTAAAGTTTTTTATTTAATTTTAAGTGATACTTACAGCCATAAGGTTATAGTTTTGGCATTTTTCTACATCTTACATAATTTACCCCTTAACTGCTTTTTGGCACCAACTGCTTCTTGTATCCATGGGACAGAGTTGTCTGATCTTGCTCTGTACTGTATTCTATTCCCTAAAACTGATGAATCATTTTGTCCAAATTGAAAGATGATCTAGTCCATTTAAGATAATTATGTACCAGGTTAAGGATTAAGGTGAGTACTCCAGATGCTGTGCATGCATTATAATACAGACTTATGTGATCTAAGCAGAACCATTGTTGTAACTAACTGGGCAACTTCCCCACATGAAAGAATGAAACACCCCACAGTAAGGATTATAACAGGATGTATGACCATTACAGTACATGTGTGCCTTAAAACCACACACCAAAAAAAATTGTTCTTGTTCTTGTTTCTAAGTTTTTAGAAGAAAAATTTATCTTTTCAGAATTGATAAAATTTGATGCTTGATTGTTGTATTAAATGATTAGGCACTGGGCCTTTTTCACGTTGTTCAAACTACACTTCATCTCATTTTTGAGTACAACAATTACAGGAAATATTGGGAAAATTGTGTCAATTCAATGGAATCTATAAAAAACAATCTAAGTGAGGTGCAACAGCTTTAAAATCATAGTTTATTTGACATAAGGTATGCACATGTTTTTTGTAAAAATAAGTTTCTGCCTTATAAAAACGCTAATATGTTTATCTCGACATTTCGTTATCTCGATATTTTTAAGACGGTCCCGATGACTTCGAGATAACGAGAGTCGACTGTACTTATTTCAGTTGGGATTCCACATTAGTTACATTTAGGTAATTTTCTGTGTTCTTGTTTTTTCCCCTAATTCTCTATTGATTTATCAAATTGTCTGTGACTGCAATTGATTACTAAAGTTGCAAGATAATTGGTCAAACTATGTTGTTTTCCAGTTTCTGCTTGATTAAATTGTAATTAGACGAAAACCAAGAGAAAAAATTTGCTCCTTATCGATTTACTTCAGAAATGAAAATTTAGCTTACATGTATAAAGTGATTATAATAACAGTCTTCAAAAGGTAAAGTAAATTATGGAAAATTGAGGACTAAGAGATTAGCTTAAAAAGCTTTAAAAGAAAAGTTTCTCTGATGGAATAGAAATAGAGAATACATCCATGGTTGATTTCAGGATGAAGAAGAATTATCCGGTGAGCGAGAAAGTGTATCTTGGCGAGTATTAGCAAGCCAAGATTCAGTTTCGCAGCAAACCGGATAAACCTTATCCTATCCCGACATCAACTATGTATTTGATTTATCCTGCTTTTGTCTACTTTGATCAAATTGTAAGGTTATTTAAATGGTATCATTCATTACTTTTCGCCATTATTATTATATGATGTAATGAATGGAGATAGATAAGTTTATCCGGCAAGGCTTTATCCAGCTGATAATAAAGAGAGTAGCAGGATAAATATGATTAGCCTTTGCCTCCAGTATAAAGCCAGACCATTTAGAAAATACTAAAGAAATTATCTCATTATTCTCTAACAAAAATTCATTATGTGTTTTCTAATTGATAGTGACACAATAGTAAGTATATAGAGGATATTTGTTTAGTTCAGTGTAAGATCGGAATATATTTCACCAAGTGAGCACCAAAAGGTATATTTCACGAGTGGCGCAGCCACGAGTGAAATATGAACTTTTGGTGTTCACAAGGTGAAATATATTTCAATCTTACACTAAACTAAACAAATTTTCTTTTTATTGTGCCCCCACGTTAGTGGCGGGCATTTAGATTTACCCTTGTCCGTCCGTCCATCCGTCCGTCCGTCTGTCCGTCCGTCCTTCCGTCCGTCCGTCCGTCCGTTCACTTTTGTGTCGCACGTAACTCAAAAAGTATTTGACCTAGAGTCATGAAACTTTACAGGAATGTTGATCAGCATGTGTAGTTGTGCACCTGGGTATTTTCGTCTGGATATTTTTAGTATTTTCAGAGTTATTGCCCTTGACTTAGTTAAATTTTGCAATTTTCAACTTGTGTCGCATGTAACTCAAAAAGTATTTGACCTAGAGTCATGAAACTTTACAGGAATGTTGATCAGCATGTGTAGTTGTGCACCTGGGTATTTTCGTCTGGATATTTTTAGTATTTTCAGAGTTATTGCCCTTGACGTAGTAAAATTTTGCAATTTTCAACTTGTGTCGCATGTAACTCAAAAATTATTTGACCTAGAGTCATGAAACTTTACAGGAATGTTGATCAGCATGTGTAGTTGTGCACCTGGGTATTTTCGTCTGGATATTTTTAGTATTTTCATAGTTATTGCCCTTGAATTAGTAAAATTTTGCAATTTTCAACTTGTGTCGCACGTAACTCAAAAAGTATTTGACCTAGAGTCATGAAACTTTACAGGAATGTTGATCAGCATGTGTAGTTGTGCACCTGGGTATTTTCGTCTGGATATTTTTAGTATTTTCAGAGTTATTGCCCTTGAGTTAGTAAAATTTGGCAATTTTCAACATGTGTCGCTCGTAGCTCAAAAAGTATTTGACCTAGAGTCATGAAACTTTACAGGAATATTGATCAGCATGTGCAGTTGTGCACCAGGTATTTTCGTCTGGATTTATTAAGTATTTTTAGAGTAATTGCCCTTCACTTAGTTTCTCAAAAAGGATTTGACATAGTTATTAAACCTTATGGGCAGGTTGCTCAGCATATTTTAGATTTGCACCTGGGGTTTCGCTTGTGGATTTATCCAGTATTTGTAGAGTTATTTCCCTTGACTTAGTAAAAAGATTGACAGAACAGTGGCGCGGTGGGGGCACCCGTGTCCTATGGACACATTTCTAGTTATATATGCAAAGAAACGTTTTAAAAAGACATTTAACCTAATACTGAATGAAAAGCGTGCCAAATAATAATATAACGTGACGTCATTTACGACGTCACGTCATTAAGTTGGTTCCCAGTACTGTGCACGCTGGTATTTTACTGAAATAACGTAAGGGGCTTAAATTCAAAACAGTGAAATTATCAAAGTGGTAATTTCACTGTTTCAAACAGTGAAATTACCATTTTTATATCACTGATATATTTCTATAAACCACCGAAAAGCATGCAATAAAACCAGTATAACCAGTGTTTCTTTACGTTATAAAGCACCTTATTTTAATTTTAAAAAAACTTGATTGTACAACAAATTTTATGTTTGAATTTGATATATATATAATACAAAACTAAATTAAGATATACATTTAATGTAAGAAATTAACATTGCCGTTGCTTTATTATTTATGTGGCATCAGATGTCTAAGATGGTTTTGTGACGCTGTTATAGCTATTAAATGTCAGCGTGTAAAATTTGTCAACTCATGCTTGCAAAATCATTTTTGAACACCAGTTTTTGTTTAAATTTATGAGTGCTCTATTTTAACCCTTTTTAATGTCTTGTAATTATTTGCAAGTGTTATATAAACATGACTGTGTGAATCTGAAGTAGTTGCAGATTTTATTTATGTTTAAAATTATTTATACATGCATCATGCTCAAATTATTTTAATCATATAGTATGCAACATAAGAAAACATAGGCAGTTTATATAAAGACCACAGGATAAAGTCTTAAATACAAAATGTATTAATTTTTATTTTGAAATAACTTGACATGTCAAAAATTATTCAATTTATGTGATGAAATTCAAAGTAAATTAATGTTTTGGCCTTAATAACATTATTTTCATGCACCAGTTGATATTGTAACATGCAAATTACATTGGTTTTTGATAGTTTAAAGTTTTATCACATAAATTATATCAAAATATGACAGAGATTCCATTGAATCCTTTGAGAAAGTAAGCATGCTTAAATTGCTGAAAATACTTGCCCTTCTTAAATTATTATTCAAACCAGATGAAAGCATTTATGACATCTGTATGAAATTTTTCAAAATATGGACATCAACTGACTGAATAGCAAACAGTGCAAACCATACTCAGATGGCATCAGTATGCCAGCTAATCTTGGTCTACACTGAGTATTATTTGTTGCTGCCCGTGTGTAGACTATACAGAGTTAAATGTCATTTCACACATCCTGACGATGAGGCTTATGCTTTATCTGATGATTATGGTGAGCTTAAAGGGCCATGTAGTGATTTACTGGGTTTTTTTTTAAACATGACTTAGTGATCATTCAAGTATGCTGCAACCCTGTTTTAACGCTCATTTTAACCACATTATAGCAAGGTTTGATAAAATTACTGCATTACCCCACCCACCACCAATTCATATAACGCTGAGGATTTTTGCTTACCGTTCATTGAATATTGACATGTAGTCTTGTTTTTTCATGACTTTGCTTTTTAATGTGTTTCTGAATTTTCAACTGCTATTTGTGTTGCTTATTTACCATATTACACTCATTCAATTAAAGATTTATTGGGTTATATCAGTTAACTATAGTGTATCTCCACATCTCGGTTGTTTATTGAACAAGAGAAGTTTCCATGTAAAAGGAAATTAACAAATAAATCAAGCAATAAAAGATATGTAAAACAGAAAAAAACAAAAACAGTTTCTTTCACAGAAGTTATCGACAAAAGCTCAAACAAAATTGATAGATCAGTCACTACATTGCTTGGGTATTTTTGTCTTAATATTTATCATGGGTGTCTTTTAGTATCTTAGGCCGGTGCCACTGGGGTGTGAGAGACATTAATGTACCTTTTCATTATCAGACTCTATCAAACAGAGTCTGCAATCTTCATGTAATTTTGTTGTGAGGGATCACACTTTATACAGATTTTAATATCTGTTTAACATATTATTAATGTTTATTTAACAAATCTCTTAGGTTATATACTGAGTGTCTGAATCACTTGGTCCTAACCACAGTATGAGTTTGAATCCTGCCTGATACATGTACTTTGAATTCTTTCATTGGAGGAAACCATTTAGCTTATTTATGGAAGTTTG